ATAAATTCAATCATCTGCAAAATCTTGAGCTGAATAATTGATTGTGGAACATTTTCCATAACTTTACCGTTTTACGTTTTGAATATGGTATTTGAAAAAGTTCCACACAAAAAATTATGTCCGTAGGATTTAGTAACAGGTGCTCTGGTCGAACTAACCATTTTCCTAAAGTTTATACCCTGACTAGCGTCCTCGGCCTACGGCCGACTTCGCTAGGCGCGGCTATGCCGCCCAATTAGGTGTAATCAGATGCAGGGCCTTCGGCCCTGGCTCAGTGGAATCAGAAATTCATATTTTAGTCTGTTCTCCCTTCGCTCGCTCCGCTCGCTCAGGTCGAACAGACCGGACAGGACCTTCGGCCTTGTAACATGTGCCCCAAAACTATTCATTAATGTTTCACTCAAAACCTATTAACTCTTTTAATTTTCAAGCAAATCCAGTTTTCTTTTTTTTAGGCCCTAGTTCGGCAGAAAAAAAAACAGAAAAACCCGAAAAACATGGTATCCACTTGTACGTTCGTTATTAAATCTCGGTTCAAACAGTACAACTTCTGACGATTTTTAGTGACCGCGTAGCTCGAGAGATTTGCTATCGATTAAAAAAAAGATTTGACCAAAACGGACTGAAATGAACCTAGTTAGGAGCTTTCAAAGAAAATTTCTACAAAATGTCAAAAATGGGAGTGCGCGATCGCTACGGTATTTAAGGGAAAAAGGGGGCGGAAAATTCAAAAAATCAAACTGTTCTTCTTTTTTCTTCTTTCTTTACAAACTGCATACTCAAATCTATTTTTTTATACAATCAGCAAAAACTTATACTGCTTTATTTTCAATAGAATGTCAGTTTGTATTTCATTTCCGTTTTTCCAGAGGAAAGATCCGCCATACCCAATTTGCCCTGTCAGTAAAGTGAATTTTGCTGAAACAAGATATTTATGCCCGAGTATAAAAATGTGCTAAAAAAGAATATCAAAATAATGTTTATCACGAGATCGGATCATTACGAGGCGGGACCATAACGCTCTATACTTCTGACACGGTGTATTTCTGAAGTCTAGGGGTTTTCACAGATCAGACCAAACGCATCCGATGGAAATAGGTATTACCAGATTTAGGTTCTATTAGATGCCCTATGCTTATGTAGTATCTTTTCTTACTCTTTGTCTCATAAATATCTTGTTTCAGCAAAATTCACTTTACTGACAGGGCAAATTGGGTATGGCGGATCTTTCCTCTGGAAAAACGGAAATGAAATACAAACTGACATTCTATTGAAAATAAAGCAGTATAAGTTTTTGCTGATTGTATAAAAAAATAGATTTGAGTATGCAGTTTGTAAAGAAAGAAGAGAAAAGAAGAACAGTTTGATTTTTTGAATTTTCCGCCCCCTTTTTCCCTTAAATACCGTAGCGATCGCGCACTCCCATTTTTGACATTTTGTAGAAATTTTCTTTGAAAGCTCCTAACTAGGTTCATTTCAGTCCGTTTTGGTCAAATCTTTTTTTGATCGATAGCAAATCTCTCGAGCTACGCGGTCACTAAAAATCGTCAGAAGTTGTACTGTTTGAACCGAGATTTAATAACGAACGTACAAGTGGATACCATGTTTTTCGGGTTTTTCTGTTTTTTTTTTCTGCCGAACTAGGGCCTAAAAAAAAGAAAACTGGATTTGCTTGAAAATTAAAAGAGTTAATAGGTTTTGAGTGAAACATTAATGAATAGTTTTGGGGCACATGTTACAAGGCCGAAGGTCCTGTCCGGTCTGTTCGACCTGAGCGAGCGGAGCGAGCGAAGGGAGAACAGACTAAAATATGAATTTCTGATTCCACTGAGCCAGGGCCGAAGGCCCTGCATCTGATTACACCTAATTGGGCGGCATAGCCGCGCCTAGCGAAGTCGGCCGTAGGCCGAGGACGCTAGTCAGGGTATAAACTTTAGGAAAATGGTTAGTTCGACCAGAGCACCTGTTACTAAATCCTACGGACATAATTTTTTGTGTGGAACTTTTTCAAATACCATATTCAAAACGTAAAACGGTAAAGTTATGGAAAATGTTCCACAATCAATTATTCAGCTCAAGATTTTGCAGATGATTGAATTTATTTTAAAATCAGAAAAGATTTAGTTGAAGAAGTTTTACATTCCTGGAAGATTGTTGTAGAGTTTGTTGCATCCACTGGTCTTGAACTCCTGAGTCTTGGTTGGGGTGGTTTTCAAGCAACATCTGAATCCATCTCCAGTCATGCACGATCCATCGTAGACAGCAGCACAGTTATGAACACAGAGGTTGTAGCAGGTTTGGTTGGAGGCGAGGGCATAGCTGTTCCATGGAGCACAGTTGTCATAAGATGCTGCTCCTTGGACAGAAGAACAGTACTGTTGGCAGATGACCAAGGTGACAGAGGCAGCAGTGGAGAAGAGGCAGAAGGCGAGAAGGATGCGGAACATCTGTAAATTGGCTTGGAATTGTAATGAACTATGAATCTACAGCTTACCATTTTGAATGCGGTCAGATGAAACTGATGCTGATGAACTCTATTGGTTCTTCTTAAATAGCTACCAATTGAGTAGGAGTAGGAGTGAGCCAATATTCTG